GTCATGCCAGCAAACTTTTGGGAGGCTGAGGTGGGGCGGATCACGAGGCATCAGGAGATGAGACATCCTGGGCTAACCACAGTGAAACCCCGTGTCTCTACTAAAAATTAGAAAATTAGCCAGGCAATGGTGGCGGGCGCCTGTAGGTCCCAGCTAACTCTGGAGGCTGGAGGGCAGGAAATGATGAACCCAGGAGGGCGGAGCTTGCAGTACAAGCCGAGATTGTGCCACTGCCCTCCAGCCCTGCGCGAGCCTGGGGTGGACAGAAGCGACGACTCTGTCTCAAAAAAAAAAAAAAAAAAAAAGAAATTCAGTTGTAGAGGATTAATCGAAAATGATCATTTTTAGTCAGCAGTAGAACCCTTTGCTCTCCTGCACTCATCTCTTTAATCTATTTAAATTTAGGCCGGTTGGTTTATGGGGGACCTGGGTAACGAGCAACACTCCAACCTTGGGTACTTATCCTCCCGAATAGGCGCATAAATAATAGTCTTCCCTGGTGCACTGTATTCTCTCTAGAGGGTTTTAAATGTTTGCATGCAGCCATCTCTAGAAGCCATCAAATGGTCTCTTCTTCCAACCGAATGAAGAGCTGAAAGATAATATGCTGGACCCATCGAGGATACCATAACCTACTGAATCGATGTTGCTGAACACCAGAAACCCAAAATGATGGTAACAGAGTGATGCTAAGGCCCCCCCAAATTTTGGTCACACTCTCACCTAAGTGAGAAACCTGACAAATAAAGGGGAATTTTTTAAAAAAAACCACAATTATCGGGAGGCCTTCGTTTTGGGACTAAGCGCAATGCACTAGGTCCTATCCCGGCCCAGCGGGATCGTCGAAGGAGCAGGCCCTGGAGGAGGGCAGTGGGGAATTTGGGGAGACAACGAGACACGAGAAAGCGGAGACCAAGGTACGCCGTGCTCTGATCGAAGTCTCGTTTAATGGTGGTGAATGCAATGCCGTTATATACACCTTGGAGGGGAAGGCGCGTTTGGGCCCAGAGGCGGAGAATGATCTCATGTCGCGGAGGTGTGTGTGGCTAGGGTAAGGTATTGGTTTCAACTAAGGATACACATAAATCCTAGAACAGACCAGGTTTTTTCTCCTGTAAACAGAATGTTCCAGCATAAAGACATACCCTCTACTCAGTCTTTGTTCCTACCTTTGGAGAACTCATTGTTCTACTGTTTCCCAGTGGGTTTCAGGAGCAAATAAGTACATCTACAATGGTGACAGTGACAACAACTAAAGTTTTGGTCAATCTCTCAAAATTGAGAAAATGACCAAAAGAGGGGAGTTGTTGAAGCGAACTAAATATGGCCTGAGAAGGACTTCATACTTCTATATTTGAGTTCTTGCGGATGAACTGCAACCTAGCTTAAGGTAGATAGATTGAAAACCTAACAGGAGTATGCAACTGTAACAATAGCTGCCTCCTGGCCAATCCCAGAGGCTGCACTTCAACCATTCATATACTGCTGAGTGTTCAAACTGTGTTCAGATAAGGCAAACACAACCTGAAAACAATCCAGCCGTTTTGTACTTCACTTCCAATTTCTGTACATCATTTACCTTTTGTTTGTCTACAAATCTTCCACCACGTGGCTGCGCTGGAGTCTCTGTGAATCTGCTGTGATTCTGGGGGCTGCGTGATTAGTGAATCGTTCATTGCTCAATTAAACTTTAAATTTAATTCAGCTGAAGTTTTTATTGTATCAAGTGTAAACCAAAAATAAAAAAAACTTATAAGGCTCCCCAGCCATCTAAATAGACTTCCTCCTTGGCCAGGGAACTCTTAATTTTCTTTCCTTATTTTTTTTTTGACGGAGGCTTGCTCTGTCACCCAGGCTGGAGTGCAGTGGTGCGATCTCTGCTCACTGCAACCTCTACCTCCCAGGTTCAAGTGATTCTCCCGCATCAGCCTCCCAAGTAGCTGGGATTACAGGCGCACATCACCATGCCTGGCTAATTTTTGTATATTTTTTAGTAGATACTGGGTTTCACCATGTTGTCCAGGCTGGTCTTGAACTCCTGACCTCAAGTGATTCACCCGCCTCTGCCTCCCAAAGTGTTGAGATTACAGGTGTCAGCCACCGTGCCTGGCCTGGAACTCTTAAAATTTAACCTGAAAGACTGGTTAAGGCCATGATAAGAAGTGGGGGTCAGACATGCCTCATTATACCTCTCTGGCATTAACATCAACATAGACTCTAAGTCTGATAAACATTTTACAACCTATTCTCTCTGAAGCTTAGTAGCTGAAAGCTTCCTCTGCAAATAAGAACTTTGGTCTCCACATCATATATATCATATATATATTTTTTTTTTTTTTTTTTTTTTTTGAGATGGAAGTCTCACTCTCACCCTAGGCTGGAGTGCAGTGGTGCCATCCACTCACTGCAATCTCTGCCGTCGGTTCAAGTGATTCTCCTGCCTCAGCTCCCTGAGTAACTGGGATTACAGGCACACACCACCACGCCCGGCTAATTTTTGTATTTTTAGTGGAGAGGAGGTTTCATCATGTTGGTCAGGCTGGTCTCAAACTCCTGACCTCGTGATCCGCCTGCCTCAGGTTCCCAAGGTGCTGGGATTACAGACATGAGCCACTGTACCTGGCCCACAGTCTTTTATCTTAACCCAGACATTCCTTTCTGTTAATCCCTGGTCTTTAGGTAAATTCAACCAATTGTCAAACACAATTTTTAAGTCCACCTATAAGCTGGAAGCCACTATCCTCGACCCCCGCGTTGAGTTGTCATGCCTTTCTGAACCAAACCAATATAGGTTTTAAATGTATTTGATTGATGCCTCATGCCTCCCTAAAACGTATAAAACCAAGCTGCACCCTAACCACCTTGGGAACATGTTCTCAGGACCTCTGTCCTGAGAGCTGTGTCACAGGCCATGGTTACTCATATTTGGCTCAGAATAAATCTCTTGAAATATTTTACAGTTTGACTCTTTTTGTCAACAACAGCAAGCCACCAGCACTCCTAGTGAGGGAAGGGTAGAGGGAACTTTTTATCAGCGAAATGGGAGAGGTTCACAGAAGCTGCTTAGAAAGAGTTCATTGGTTCCAGAGGCCCAACGCCAAAGCTCAAAGTTGTCCTCAGTTCATTGGTGGAGCTGCCATTACTGGGCAAATGTTTCTTCCGAGCATCTTATCTGAATTACTGTAGTCACAAAGATCGTCTAAATTTTATCAAAGTAGGAGACCCGCGAATGACACAAAAGGGTTTCTTGCGGGGTTTTTCGAAAGTCCTTGTAAATAGTTCTTATCTCACACACTAAGCCTGAGCCTCCTGTCCTTCCCAGCCCTGTCTGTCTGGGCCTGACAACGTGACTTCATTCCTTATTTGTAACTTTCACAAAACAAAGGCCCTGGTCTCATGAACTCACTGCACAAAGTGACCCTGGTTCGCTGGGAGCAGATAAGCGATGCTATCTGCCTGCCCTGGTCCAAACATCTCATCTGGAATACTGCAGGCCAGTGGAAATGCCCGGAATAAACTCTGCTTACAAGGTAATAGCGAGCCTCACTGGCATTTCAGAAATGCGTGACAGCTGCTTCCTTAGGGCCCTCCCCACTCCCTTTTGGTTACGTTGTGACATAAATTACTCCATTTTGAACTACAGGGTCATTCCTCAGCCCCCGCCAACCCCGCGGATCCCCCCTCAGCCCTGCTGTATCAGCCTTTCAGATCCTCCTTCAGCCTCTCAGGTCCCCCTCAGCCCGCTGTGTCCCTCTTCAGCCCCACCTTGAACTTTCCTCATCCCCAGAGATCCTCCCTCAGCCTCCCTTGATTCCCACCTCAGCGCCCAAGGATCCTCCCTCACTGCCCCCTGGGACCTCCCTCAGTTCTGCGGATCCCCCCTCAGCCTCTTGGGACCTCTCTCACCCCTTCTAGATCCTTCCTCAGCCCCGCAGATCCTTCCGCAGCTCCCCCTGGCTCCTCCCTCAGGCCAGCTGGTGCTCACTCAGCCCCGCGCATCCTCCCTCCCTCAGCCCCCACCGGGGTCCTCCCGCAGCCCCACCTGGGTCCTCCCTCAGCCCAGCTGGTGCCCCTTCAGCCCCGCAGATCCTCCCTCAGTTCCCCTGCGTCCTCCCTCAAGACCCCTGGGTCCTCCGTCAGACCTCCGGGACCTCTCTCAACTCTCCTGGATCCTCCCTCAGCCCTGCGGATCCTCCTTCAGCTCCCCATCCCGGGTCCTCCCTCAGACCCGCGGGTCCCTCTCGACCCCGCTGGCCTGCCCTGGTCCTCCCGTAAGAACCGAGGTCACCTGGCCGACCCCGCCTCGCTCCTGGTACTGCCACAGCGCCCCGCAGGCCCCGCCTACCTAGGCTTCGCCCCGCCCACGAGATTACATCACACCGCGCCGGCCCCGCCCAACGGGGGGTATATCTTGGTGTCTCACCGCCCACTCTTGCCTCGCCCCGCCATGGAATACGTCCTACCGCGCGACGCAGCGCCTACCAGTGACGTTGTGGGCTGCAGCGCTGCAGCACCCAACGCAGTGAGTGTGCTGTGACCTCCTGCGTGGCCTCGTCCCTGGTCTTAGTTTCCACCGGGCAGTGGGAGTCAGGACCGCCTGTCCTCAGGCCCCTCCTCAGCGACTGTGGCGGCTGCAGGTTGGCGCCTCGTGTGGGCGGGGAGCAGAGGCGGGGGGCGCTGTACTCTCCCTGTGGAGTCCGGAGGGAGGGAGGCAGGGAAGGGGACTGGGGGCTGCACCTGTGCTGGGCCCTTGTCCCCATGCGGTCTAGCAGGAAGGAAGAGGGAGCTTCCCCTGAAGACCCTCCTGGACCAGCCCCAGGCTCCTGTGCTCGTGAGGCCGAGGGAGCGGGATGTCGGCATAGGACACGGAGCAGGATTTCCATTTTAGAGGCAGCCGGACCTGTCTTCAGGTCCCTTCCTTGGTGAGAGGGGTACGCCAGAGGAAGCTGGGCGCTCGGCCGCTGTGCAGCCTCGTCTCCTGGAATCTGAGTATTGGAAACTGGGCTTTCACCTCGGATAACTCAGCACAGACTCCCATGGGAATCCAGGTCACAGCAAAGCAGCCCTGGGCCTCCATTCTCCTTTAAGCAAGCATGACAATCCTCACCTGACTGGGTTTTTATTAAAACTAGCAATGACCTTAGAAAGCAAGGCATGACCTCAGCTCCACTTTTGAGGCTGCAGTCCATTTAGAGAGGTTTCCCAGACTCGGTAACGGCCAGAACAAACAGCCTGTGCCCTGCCGCAGACTGAGTCAGAATTTTTGGGAGTAGTGACCAACTTCTGCTTTTGGAAAAACCTCTACAGGCGGTTCTGAGAAGTCCAAGGGTTGCTGGGAGAGGTTGGTGAGTGGCGTGTTGATTACATGTGTCTTGGAAGCATCCTGGGCTGGGATTTGATGTGAACCCATTAGGTGGAAGAACCTTCCTTTTAAAAAAGATGTCTTCATTCTCTGCCTAGCAGGTTGCACGCCAGGGCCTGTACTTACCACCACCACGTGCCACGGGACTCTAAGGAGGAATGGCGGCCGTGGGCAGCCTGCTTGGGTAAGCATGGACTTTTAGGTCCCTGGGTATTACTGTCAGGGGCCACCCCAGGGAACCCCTCTATTCAGCAGGAAATGGCCATTCTAATCCTCCCTAGTCCCAGCTATTATCCACTGTCCCCTGTGCTGGAAGCTTTGTGCCCTTGCTCAGCCTGGCAGGCTCTTCCTGGCTAGGGGGCCAGAGCGGCTCTGACCACAGCCTGCGGCTCCTCAGGAAGTCCTGAGGCTCGTCCTGCTCCTGGCATGGGTCACCAGCTCTGGTAGTGTCTCCTGTTGCCTGGCAGTGCCCCATCACGGCCAGCCTCAGTCATGTTGGACCAGTGCTTACACGTTTATCTGCAGCCTGCTGAGGCAGAGCACCGTGAAGGCCACCGAACCTGCACTCCGCCACCTGCACACATCCTCCTGGCAGGCCGACAGCAGCAGGGCCTCACTCAGTCGTGTGCACCGCCAAGCTTATGCACGACTCTACCCTGTACTGCTGGTGAAGCAGGATGGCTCCACCATCCACATCCGCTACAGGGAGCCGCGGCGCATGCTGGCGGTAAGCTTCCCTCTCCAGGTGCTTCCAGGTGCTGGGCTGGGGTTCAGGCTGTGGTGGCGGTGCTGGTGGCCAGTTGCCTTAGGATGGACATGTGGCTGTGGTCACTGTACCACATGACAGGAGTCAGGGGAGCAGGTGGTTGTTGGAGGATTGGAGGAAGGCTTAGATCCAAAACTGACTCTTAAGCGCCAAAATTAGATAGGACTAACCAGTAGTGTGTTTTTATTTTTAAAATTTATTTTTTGAGACAGGGTCTTGCTCTGTCAACCAGGTTGGAGTGCAGAGGCATGATCTCAGCTCACTGCAGCCCTGACCCCCTGGACTCATGCGGTCCTCCCACCTCAGCCTCCCGAGTAGCTGGGACTGCAGGTGCACACCACCATGCCTCGCTAACTTTTTGAAATATTTTTTGTACAGATGGGGTTTCTCTGTTGCCCAGGCTAGTCTTGAACTCCTGGGCTCAAGTGATCCTCTCACCTCAGCCTCCCAAAGCACTGGGATTACAGGCATGAGTGAGCCACCATGCCTGGCCTTGTGTGTTTTTAAAAACATCAAATCTGGGGAAAACACAGAACAATTTATTTTGAAGATTGAAAGCTTTGAAGGGAGAGACCAATAAGAATGTTTGAAAATTAAGCTAGTATAGGATGGAAGACACAAGTTGACAGGAAGGCCCTGGGCTGTCCCCTCAGTAGTTCTCAAGGTCCCTCGATCCACATGGACAAAACTTGGTCTGTCCCCTGCAGATGCCCATAGATCTGGACACCTTGTCTCCTGAGGAACGCCGGGCCAGGCTGCGGAAGCGTGAGGCTCAGCTCCAGCCGAGGAAGGAGTACGAGCAAGAGCTCAGTGATGACTTTCATGTGGAGCACTACCAACAGTTCTGGAACAGGACCAAGAAGTGACCGTGGCTCCAGCCACCCCGGGACGTGGATAAGATGGGAGGGCTGTTCTTAAATCACATATTCTCGAAGCTGCCACCTGGAGTCTGTGTCTGTCCCCACACTTGGTGTGAGCCCCAGACTGGCAGCTCGTCCCCTGAAAGGCACGAGCTCAAGCACAGAGAGGGCTTAGTGGACTAGCAGGGTGAGGGTTGGTTTAGATCAAACCTGTGGGCTTTGGACACTGCTCTGGGGCTGTGGTGCCCACGAACAACTGTGTAGGCAGTACCCAATACCTCCAAGCTCTAAGCTGTGCGTTCCCAGCCTCAGAGGCACCAAGGCGACTGCCCTCCTGACAGCACAGTGGCCCTCAGGTTGGTTCCTAGGAGGGCCTGGGTGTTCTGGGACTCAGGCATCAACCTTGGTGGGGCAGCCCTAGGACCACAGCCTGCAGCTCCCTGCCCTGGCCCTGCATTCCCAGGCTGCCCCAGGGAAGGTCCTGCCCTGGGAGGGTCCCCAGAGGAGCAGCCAGCCCTGGTTGTCCTTGACTGCTAATGGGGTCTGAAAAGCACAGCCCAGGGAGATCCACAGACCCTGCTCCATCTGTCCAGAGGCTGATTTCACTTAGGACCAGCTCCAGCTGATGTGCAGGCACCTTCACACACACATCAGCCCAGGTTTTGGACAGCTCAGGGCCCGGACTGCTTCCTGTCCCTGTCCTGGGGTGTTACTGGGTCCCAGCTGGCAGGCTGTCTCACTGACACCTGGAGTGCCCAACAAACACTTCTTGCAGTGGTGTTCTGGGATTGCCAGGCAGGTCAGAGTGTGCTGTCGTGCCCCTGTGATGACAGTGCTTGTAACTGAGGAGCCTGGGCAGTGTCCCCACCTCGCAGGCCCTTCCCTTGTCCCTTAAGTTTGTTCCTGGCCCTCTGCTCATCCTGCCGGCCTTCAGCTCTGCTGAGAAGAGCCTGCAAGGGATGTCCCCTGTCCCTGTGACCCAGCAGTGCCTGACCTCACATGGATGGGCTATGTGGCCGCCTGGGACTCTGCCTTGCAGGGTTACTTCCTGAGCAGCCTCCCTGGAGCCCCCGTCTCTGAAGTTGTGGCTCAATCCCTGTGGCATATAGAGCCAGCTGCCCGGCCACACTGTGCAGTCACTTGGCCCCCTCCTCCAGTGTACCCAGCCTCCTCCCTCTATAGTGGGTTCCCCTGGGAACTCCACTGCCCCTCTACTTACTCCTTCACCTCCACCCTCCTGGGTCCAGCTTTGCTGCTGTCACAGAGGACACCACTGTGATCAGTGCCCCCAGCTGGGACTCCACCCAGCAGGCACAGGCCATGCAACCTCCACTGCGGTGACCCCTCCTCCTGTGGCCTATGGCTTGTCAGGCTAATGGGCCCAAAACTGACCAGGTCTTCCCCAGAAACCTGGTCCTCTTGTTGACAGGTGGCTGCTTCATCCTCACAGTTGCCCAGACCAGAGCCTCAGAGCCATCCTGGACTCCTCCCCAACGTCCACCTGGCCCTGCTATCCCCTCTCCACCACACCTGATATCCAGTCAGTGGTCACACTCCACAGCCGGGCCCTGCCCACATGGCCGAAGTCCACCCTGGCCTGGCAAGCCGCAATTGCACTCAGGAGTTGATGCCCTACACTCAAGGAAGCCTTCCCAGGAGTGGGCCAGTCACCTTCTGTGTGCCAGGCTGTGGCCTGCTGCTCTGCCCTTGCCATGCACCTGCTCCATGATGCAAGCTCACACAGCATCTCATGAGGGAGATGGCAGCCAGTACTTGCTAAGTAGATAGATGAGCCAGATGGGCTGTCTGCCAGGCTGCTCTAACAGCCTGACCCATGGACTGGGTCACTAAGAAACAGAAATTTCCCACAGTTCTGGACACTAGACCTGTGTTTCATCCAGTTCAACCTGTGGCTGGAATTGCCCCAAAAGTGGTGGCAGTAGAGTTCCCACAAGGGAGTGCCCCACACCATGCTGAGATGGGGCTGGTTAGGATTCTACAGAAAGATTGAGCATGCCAGGGTAATGCGCCCAGAGCATTTATTAGCAGGGCTTTTGTACAGAGTGGGCTGCAGCAGTTCTTGCAACGGGTGGTGAGAGACATGAATGTTCTCTCTAGGTATGTCCATGGGGAGGGGGTTGTCGCATGGAGTTTATATGAGGGTTTAAGGAATCTGGCTCAGGCTGGGTCCAGTTTCTTTCTGTGTTTTGAGCAACAACCTAGATGCTGTCATCTGTGCCTGGGAACGTTCATGGCTATGGCTCAGGTTCAAGTCTGCAGACGAAATTATACCGTTGGCGAGGTCACAGAGCGGCTAAGGGACTCTGTTTCTTGGTCACCACGGGGAATGAAAGTGGAAAGGTGAAGCAGGGGGATGCCACAACCTCCAAAATCAGGGTGCCCATCATGCTGAGGTTCTGGGAAGGGGTCTCTTCCAGACTACAGACTTCCCGCTGCCTTCGCACAGTGGAAAGCTGCACAAAGCTCTCGGGTCTCTTTTATGAAGGCTCTGTCGTCATGACCTAGTCACCTCCGAAGCACCAACGCCTTGGGTTGAGGATTTCACCTGGGAGTTAGGGTGCACATTCAGTTTACCACGGCAGGGATGGGACCAGTGCTCTGAGGGTGTCTGGGTAGCTGCTGGTTCATCCAGAAGTTTACTGGGTAATACTCAGAAATTCCACAAATCATTAGGGCATTACCTTGTTAAGCTCCCCATATGGAATCGCAGCTGGCAGTGACCAATTGGCGGTGTTAGCTAGGCGCATCCTGTGTGTTTTCTTTTTTTATGAGACAGGGTCTCGCTCACTCGCTCAGGTTGGAGCGCAGTGGCGCGATCTCCTGGGCTCAAGAGATCCTCCCGCCTCAGCCTCAAAGCGTTGGGACTACAGGCGCGCAAGCAAGCGCGCGCCCGGCCCATTTTAACTTTTTTTTTTTTTTTTTGAGACAGGGTCTCGCTCTGTCGCCCAGGCTGGAGTGCAGTGGCGCGATCTCGGCTCACTGCAACCCCGCCTCCCGGTTCAAGTGATTCTCCTGCCTTAGCCTCCTGGGTAGCTGGGATTACAAGTGTGCACCACCACACCCGGCTAATTTTTGTATTTTAGTAGAGACGGGGTTTCACCATGTTGGCTAGGCTAGTCTGGAATTACCGACCTCAAGCGATCCGCCTGCCTGGGCCTCCCAAAGTGCTGCGGGAGCCACAGCGCCCAGCCCGGTTTTAACCATTTTTAAACGTACAGTTCAGAGGCGTTCCCGCGCTGGGCAGGATAGGCGCAGTGCGCAGGCGCCCAAAGCCTGCTTGAAGGTGACGCGCGGGAGCACAGAGCCGGGGCGGTGCGCTGCGCAGGCGCGCGGGGCGAAGCCGGGTGGGCGCCGGGTGACGTCACGGCGCGCGACGCGAAGGCGGGGTCGGGCCTGGGTCTGACGGTAGTGGGTACAGAGGGTCCGGGGTTGCGGGTCGCAGGCCGCAGGCCCCAGGCAACTGCCTCCCGGGCGCCATGTTCGGTTCCAGTCGCGGAGGCGTGCGCGGCGGGCAGGACCAGTTCAACTGGGAGGACGTGAAGACTGACAAGCAGCGGGAGAACTACCTGGGTCCGTGGGCGCGGTGGGCGCGGTGGGCGCGGCGGGCGGCCTCCCGGGGGGCGCTGGGCTCACGGCGCCTACGTCCGCAGGCAACTCGCTGATGGCGCCCGTAGGCCGCTGGCAGAAGGGCCGCGACCTCACCTGGTACGCCAAGGGCCGGGCGCCGTGCGCGGGCCCGAGCCGCGAGGAGGAACTGGCAGCAGTGCGGGAGGCGGAGCGGGAGGCGCTGCTGGCCGCCCTGTGAGTGTCCGCGGACATCAGCGGTCGGTGCTTGGGACTTCGCTGCCGGGGCAGGGTGGGGCCAGGGGCGGGGACTGGGGGTCAGGCTGGGCGGGGGCGGGGCTGCGGGGACTTGCGCGGGTGGGACCCTCAGGATGAAGGCTGGAGTGGTGAGGACCCGTGGTGGGAGGAGGTCTGTTCGTCCTGACGCCTGCCCTGGTCCTCTCGCAGTGGCTACAAGAACGTGAAGAAGCAGCCCACGGGCCTGAGCAAGGAGGTAACTCCCTGGGGTGGGGGGCACGTGGAGGGCCGTGGGTGTGGGGCCGTCCCGAACGCTGCCTGTGCTCCCGCACCTGCAGGATTTCGCGGAGGTCTGCAAGCGGGAAGGAGGCGACCCCGAGGAGAAGGGCGTGGACCGGCTGCTGGGGCTGGGGAGCGCCAGGTGCGAGCAGGTTTCCAGGGGAGGGCAGAATTGCTCGGGTGAGGCGGGCCCTTGACGGACTGTCTTCATCGCCGTGTTCCTGCAGTGGCTCCGTGGGCCGCGTGGCGATGTCCCGAGAGGACAAGGAAGCCGCCAAACTGGGGCTGTCTGTGTTCACGGTAATCCCCCGCCCCGCCTGACCGCAACAGGGGCCAACAGGGGTGGCGCAGGGCGGGGGCACTGAACGTAGCTCCCCGAGGCGCTGCGGGGCGTGGTGTGGGGCCGGCCCTCAGACTCTTCCCCAGAGCGCGATTCTCCCGCAGCATCACCGCGTAGAGAGCGGCGGGCCCGGGACCTCGGCAACCTCGGCCAGGAGGAAGCCGCGGGCGGAGGATCAGACGGAAAGCAGGTGAGGCTGAACCTACTGGGCGAGCTGCGCGCCGGAGGGGGTCTCGGGAGGACCTCAGCGGCTCCCGCTCCGGCAGGTGGCAGCTTCTCTTGGCGCACCGGCCCGGCCCGTGGCCTGCCCTACTTTACTTCCTGTCCCACTTACTCCTAGGTTTTTCTCTAGGGGAGTTTCTCGGGTCACCCTTGAAGAGAGGTCCTAAGTACTGGCAGTGGTCGCGGGCTGCGCCGTGGGAGGGCGCTCAGGACCTGCGGCGGGGCCTTTTCCTTCCATGGGTGGCACCTCCAGGGCTTCTCTTGGGTGGTGAGCCTGGGCCTGACCCCAAGAGTGGCCTGGTGGGTGCAAGTAGGAAGGTGTCAGCCTGTCAAGGGCACAGCTGGGGTGTAACAGGGCCGTGCTGTGGAGATAGGGATATCGCATCAGTTTCTAACCCAGGGCAGCCACTGGCCACGTGACTGC